CCCCAAAACCCCAAAACCCCAAAACCCCATGTAGAAGTAATTGTAAGGAAAGTTAAATTTTTATAATAGATTATCGTGTAAATAGTTTAACTTGAACATGGATGATAACTCACTTGTGATGCTGGTTTCCAGCAGTGATAATAGTCTTATCCATCGAAATCATGATAAAGACACCAATACTTCCCAGCTGAGTCAGAGTCATCTAAGTCAGAATAACCTAATGATTGAAGATGACTTCAGCCATAGAGAAAATGAACCAGATAATGAATCTATCTAGATATCACAGTCCTCTCTAAAATCAAAAAAATAGAAGAAAAGTTCGAGTAATAAAAAAGAAGAAGAAAAAGATAAGAAAATTCGAAGGAAAAATAGCTGGATAGTGGATATGGAGGATATTCTTGATGACGAAATTGAACTTCAATCGACATTTAAAGGAAGTAAAAAACTGATAGAATTTGTGCCAATAGAAGATGATGAGAAATTATAACAATACTAAAACCTTGTAATGCCTGTGATAGTCAATCTAAGATAGAATACTAGTTAGCGGGAATAACAGAATAAAAAGCAGCGGCAAATAGATGATGAAGAGGTGAATCATCAAATAAGTTAAATGAATGCAGCTACAGAGAATTATGTTCCTGAGAGAGGGGTCTTTAAAAAATCTCAAACAAAAACAGAATCCTGCATAAATGAGACTCTAGGCGATTTACAGATGCAGTTGATCATGTCTATCCTGCAAGAAACACTTGATATCTACAGATTCAAAAGAATATACAATGCAGAGCTGATTATGAGGCTACTCTCTCAAAAGTGCTTGATAAAATATGCCAAATTAATTCCATAGAAACTAATAACTCCAAGAGAGAATTTAATGTAACAGTAGCCTTAAACAAGAAAAGAAGATTAGTTTTTACTTGATCCATGTGAGTCACTTAGTAAACTGTTTCTTGATCTCGGCTCCTACCCTATTCAGTACTTCACTTACACCTAAACCAGATCTAATACAATAATGTACATTCCTCCCAAGAGTAATGAAAACCTGATTGTCTTAGGCAGTGAGAATCAAATGCATGAATTCAGATTTAAATATGATATTCAATTGATTTACCCAGAAATAATAAACTACCAATTATAAGAAGATATTGACAAGATAAATAGATATATTAGGCCGATAAAGCAGGAACTATTTCGCACAGAAAAGACCTTGATGCTCTATATTATAATTGGCCTTATTGTTACTGGGTTTTTGGCAATATTAGTGGGCCTTCTATATTCTTACATTATTTCTATTGTCTTTACCATTATTTTCATCTGTGGACTGATTTACATGCATCTATGAGTTTAAAAGAAGAGTTTGAATGTGATATTGAAGTTGATCTTTAATTTATCTCTAGTAATAAAACTCATAAATGAAAGAAAGTTAAAAGACCTAGGCCTCAAAATAAGACCTGGCTATCAAGGGAAATGGATAGAGATTCACTTGTTAACCATAACAGACTAGGTCCTTCCACCTTTGAATGAAATATATTAAGCATGAGAAAAAAGTAGTAGAAATAATAACAAAAATTATAAATATAATACAAAAATAGTAAGTTTGAATATATAGCGTCACCCAACAGAAGTCTGATATCATTAAGAAAGGCAATAAATAATTTTCTATAACTTATAATATTTGATAGATTTTTAACAGAAAATAAACCTTAATTTATTTAAAGTTAAAATTATTTTAAGTAATTTAATAAATTCTTAAGTTTTACAGAGAAAAAAAGTAATGGATACTTAAAGCTCGCCAGATCCAAAAGCAAATGAGAATTTACTTGAAAGAAACAACAGCAACTTTGCCTCAAGCAAGAATCTCGAGATAAATTCTTAAAATTTCATGGACTCCATCTCAGCTATTGGAGATGACACCTATTAGTGTTAGGTTCATCAAAAACCGTTTGAAACCTTTTGCTCACAAGACATGATTTTACTTTGCATTGAATGCGCTAAAAGTGACCATAGACTTCACCATAAGATACACGTCACAGATCTTGTATTTAAGATGAATGATAGGTTGACAAACCAAATGTCCAAATTAAGCTCAGTCCTATAATTCATTCAATTATCTAATATAGCCTAATTCGAAAAGTCTCTATTGGACTCCATTAGATCGTTTTTCAAGAGAATACATGAAATTTTATATGAACTTGAAAATAAAAAGACTGATGAGATCGAAGAACTTTTGAAATAGGTTTTTGGAGTAAGGATAAGTGTTGATGAGGTGATATCTCTTGAGGGAATTGGCTAAAAACATCAGGAATCTCTCTAGTAATTGATTTCTAAAAATAAATTCGTTTACATTGTTAAAGAATACTAGAACAAATTGAATGCCTATTTGTAGGAGGTGGAAATCATCAATACTCAAGCAAGTTAATTCCTTGAAATGCAGGTAGATTTCAGAAAAGAATGGAGCAATGAAATTGTAAAGTACAACGTGAGTGATTTGGACTTCTAATTTAGCAATATAGTAAATGAGGTCGTTAACTTGAACAGACTTGAAAGCCATTTTAACAAGTAATAAAAAGCTTAAAAGCAATTTATCTTGAAAGACCCAACACGCTATTAATTTTAAAAGAGTTTGAAAGTTCACAGTTAGGAGATAGCTTGCTTGACTTAACTTCAAAATGGGAACTATGCTACTGGTTCATTGGATGCTAGCATTAAAGTTTGGGATGCTGAGTAAGAGAAAGTGCTTAGTGTATTTGATGGACATACACATTGTGTAACTAAAGTAATCGAGTTACAAAATGGGAATCTTGCATCATGTAGTTTAGACAAAACTATCAACTTATGGGACAGATAAACTGGAGATATAATAAATACACTTGAAGGCTTTGAAAATGATATCAGAGACATATAAGAGTTAGATGTAGATAATTTAGTGATTCACATAGATGATGATAACCAATTCATGATTTGGAATCATAGGAAAGAGCAAGAAGATAACTGTATGTATTTTGATGAACATGAAGAGCCTATTACAAAGCTTATAGTAATGAATCACAAGTATGTATATACTGCAAGTAAAGATGGATCCATAAAGAGATGGTACCCAAGAGGGTCAGGTTAGAATTCAGAAATTACCTATAACGGCCACTCAGGAGCAGTGAGTGATCTTATAATGTTAGATAACAAACAATTAGCTAGTTCTGGAATAGACAAGACAATCAAAATATGGGAAATTCCTACAAAATGGTGCCTCTTTACTATGGAGGGTCATCAAAGGCCAATCGTAAAACTGCTGTATTTAGCAGAACATCAAAGAATAGTGAGTGCCTCATTGGATTAAACAATAAGAATTTGGAGTAGAGAGAACTAAGTTTGTCTTAAAGTCTTAGAAAACGGAAGTAAGGTTAGGGATATTTTCTACTTAGGGGTTTAAAAAGTGTACATTCATAAAAAAGATGGTGATGGAGAGGATTAAAGGTCAAATAGAATGATCTTAAATGATCTTTCTATTAGTGATGACTCTGAAGAAGATGAAGCAAGTTATGGGGTAAAGATACTTCCTAGTTAATCCTCAAGAAAATAAAGACAGCTTGAGGAATTGAAACAAGATAAAAAACAAAAATCTAGTAAATATGGTGATTCTAATAAACTTGGAAATCAGTCAGACTTAAGGAGTGGAACGCAAAGCAAAAATAGTTAGAGAAGAAAAGACATTGATGACATGAATAAGAGTATTGATTCACTTGACAATGTCAAGTTTATAAATTCAGTCTAGGAAGCTAGCAAGGTACCAATCCTGGTTAGTCTTAAATAGATTGAGAATTAGGAGCCAAAGATATAGCTTTGGAATATGAATAGTGGTGAACTTATTAAGTCACTAGACAGTAAACACTCAGGGCTTATCACAGGTGTTCAAAGAACTTCAGATTTTAAAATTGTTACTGTCTCTAAAGACTCCAAAGTCAACATTTATTATTGATTTTATTTACTCCATACTACATTTATTCTTTCAATCAATTCAGAGCTTAAAATGATCTAGGGGTTTTGGGGTTTTGGGGTTTTGGGG